TATGTGTATATATGTATATATACATATATATACAAATACATATGTATATATACATATAATATATATACATATATAATATATATGTATATACATATATAGGTATATACATAATATATGTATATACATATATATACATGTACATATCATATATATGTATATATACATATATATTTATATATGTACATTTTAGAATGGTAACTAAAATATAATTTACAATTTCATATATTAAGAGACCCTCAAACTTCAATCTCAAAAAAGTTTTTAAAGTAATGATTTTAATTTAAAAAAGGAAAATTTTTTCCCACAAAAATAGAATGTTTTATCCACATATAGTTGATACTATTGCATGGCACAAACCATTCAAAACATTAAATATTTACTCAAAATGACCTTTAAAAATTTTTTTCAAATTTCTCATTTTTGTTACTGCTTCAAAAGTGTCTATAGCTATACTTAGGTCTTATGAAGCTGTCTCCAACTGAAACAAAGATGCCACATTCAATTTTCACACTCCTAGCAGATAATAACCATGAGCCATTTCACAGAACTAGGTTTTTCAGGTAATAGGGTAGGGACAGGCTGTGCCGTTTTGTACGCTTCACAATTTTAGAAACATTTTATCATCATGACATTTGTAAGAACTTGTAGTTACTTTATCTCCTTCAAACTGTGTCAAGAAAATAATAAATGTGCATTTTATACAGGGCAGTAATACTTGGGACGGTGAGTTGAATAGCATCTCCTATATCTTTATTCATTAATAGCTTGGGTAAAACACTTAACTGTCCTAACCTAGTATTTCCACTAAAGTAATGGCAATGCTACTGGTATCCATATGTATTTAGATATATCAGGGAGCAAAAGGGCCATGATATAATCAATCTTTTACATTTTTGGTTGATAACTATACTCTTTGTAGAAGAACCATTATGTTGAAAACTCCATTTTGCTGATGAAATTCATTTTGCTACTATGCTAGACAGGCAATGATAATTGAAGGAGACCACGGAGTCTCTAGAAGTGATGAAGGTCTAGCAATAAATAACATGGGACTGGCTGTACGCCAGTCCCATGTTATTTATTCATGCCTGTAATCCCTTTGGGAGGCCAAGGCAGGAAGACTGCTTGAGCCCAGGAGTTTGAAACCAGCCTGGACAACGTGGCAAAACCCCCCCTCTACAAAAGTACAAAACTTAGCTGGTCATAGTGGCACATGTCTGTAGTCTCAGCTACTTGAGAGGCTCAGATGGGAGGATCACCTGAGCCTGGGGAGGTCAAGGCTGCAGTGAGCCATGATCAAACACCTACACTCCAGCCTGAGCAACAGAGTGAGACCGTGTCAATAAATAAATAAATAACATGGGACTAAATAAAGTGTGTTTTCTTTTTCCTAAAGTTACAAGGGAAAATACTGCAAATTATACATCATTTGAAAATTTTTCTCTTTAGTTTTCAGTCACAATATGGATATAGCAGCTCCAAATGGAGGTTAACTGATTATTGCTTTTATAATTGAATTGTTAAAGAGTTTACATCTTAATTATATAATTATATTTTTGAAACATCACAGAAACCCAGCATGTGCCTATTTGTAATTATCAGAGTATATACATCTGATTAGGACTCAGCTATGTTGAAGGCCTCATGAGCCCAACATAAAACTATCGCTTGCGTTTTCTACCACAACCAAAGAAAACACATTGTGTGCTCTTAGTGGCCATTCCAAAAAGAAAGATGTTGTTTTCAATGAAAGGAAATAAAGAATAAATAAAATAATCATCCTCCATTGTAAAAGAGTCTACAGAACAAGAGAAAAGGACAGGGTCCTGAAAACATCTAGTGATGCCAATAAAATGGAAGGTTTTTTAAAAAGTGATTTGTCTCATTAAAGCAGCAGAAGAGTATCCCACACTTATATGTGACTGCACTAAAAACAGACCCTTTTTGTGCACTGAGAGTTACAAAAAGGCAGAACGCTCACAAATAGATGCATTTTCAGATATGGGAACAAAATGACATAAAGAAATTGACCTTGTTATCAGTTTAGCTAAAGAGGTGAAAGATAAGGATATTTTCAGGAAATACCTATTGCAGGTAGTATATAGAATACTTGGGCCCAGTTGAAGCCCAGGTAATGTGATGATAGTCATGATAATGGTCCACTGAATGCTAACAGGCAACTATAGTTACAGCTGCACATGGCTATCGCAACCTTACACACAAATTCTAGAAAGCTCATTATGAAAATAATATTCCATAAATCACAGGGAATCAGCATCAAGTGTATCTTCATGCATGCCCAAAAAGGAAGGAGAAACTGACATCCATCAACAATGAACAATGACTTTTTTCAAATCTAATATCTGGTGCTGAGAAATTTATTTTGTTGTTGTCATTTAAAGTGGAATGTTTCTATGGGATAAGTCATCTTATCCCTAAAAATAGCAGGTCTTTTTTTGTCTTTCCAAGAGAGGTATTATTAAGAATTAATAGGTATTTCAGAACCTCCAAAATGAACCCACTAAACAAACACCAACAAATTACAACTTGAGCTGAATTTTATTTTCAAATGATGAGCAAGAGCCATAAGACAATCCATATTCTATAAGCTACTTTTGTTACACATTAATGACTAAAACGGCTTCTGTGCAGATTTCAAATTAATCAAAGAATATCAGCTTCAGCTTCATGGCATTAAACTCATTTGAAAAAGGAGTGGATGGCAGTAAAACTAAAGTTTTACCAAAAAGCAAGAGTTATCTAAGCAATAACCCAGCATGAAAAGAGAACTACTTCTGATTTCCTAGAACACATCACTAACAGGTTATTATTTCTAATTACCGTGGCAGCACACAGCAGTTGCCATCTAACACTTTACAAAGATGCTTGGTCACACCATGCTCTGCTGTATTAAGTGATCTTTGTTGAAAGCATTCATTTCCATTTCTCCTACACCTATAAAATGTCAAATAAGAGTGGTAAGACAATCATTTGCCCTCAATTTTCTCTATAATGTAAGGTTTAGAGGAGTGTGTTAAAACTCTAAAATAACAGACTAATAGATTTCTCAATTCTCCCTTCCTCCTTTGTTTCCACTGGAAGGAAATCTATTTCTGATAGCATCTCTTCTAAAGTTTAGGAAACTAAAAGGGTCTGCTGTTTAACCAAAAAAAAAAAAAGTTCTCAAACATAGTTATTTTGAGTAACTATATTTCAGAAAAACTCTGCAAAGAATGTAAAACCTTCCCTAGAGTGCTTTAACATAAAAGTAGTTAGGAGTGAAAAAAAGAAATAATGTTTTAAGTACTGAAAAAAAAAATCAAATGCAAGTAGTTCTACCCTCCCCACCTCTTTTTTAGCCTTCTTTTACACATGCAGAGACATACAGCGCAGATTTCAACCACAAGTTTTAAGAGCATGTATAAAGAAGCATACAAGAAAATCAGTAAATCCTTGTTTTACAAAGAGAGAAAGTGGGCTGTAGAAATCAGCGTACCGCAGGAATCTTCCTTCCCTTACTCACAGGATCAAAAAAAAAAAGCTTCTAGACCAGTAAGGGGCAGAATTCACGGTGCATTTCCCGAACACATCCTGTTCAAAGCAGGATAATAAAATGAAGATGCTATGAAGTAAACCATACTCCAATCCTAGTTTACATTAAAATTTTGTAAAAAAAAAAAAAAAAAACCAAACTAATAAAAACGACTAAAAAAATAAAAAAAACAAAGCATGGGCATTGATGGAGAAGAAAATCATCTACTTAGAAATACTCCTTAAAACTTACTTTTAAAAACCTTTTGAATGAATATTACAATTGATCCTTATTTAGGTCATTTCTCTTAGGCATACTACATAAGCAACATTTAAAAGTGCCCAGAAATCAAAATTGCCAAAACTATATTTCAAAGAAGATATTCCATACACATGAAACTAAACCAGAGTTTGTATAAAGGTGTCCAAAAACAGATCTTATGGAACTTTTAAAAACAGAAAAAAAAAGGAACAATGGTTTGTTTCTTCAGAGATGAGCGTCCACATCATAACCCTCTTCGTTTGGCATCACCAATGACTCCCCAAACATCAAAGACAAATTCGTCTGGGAACGCAAAGTCTCCAAGAGTTTCATCAAGTGCCACAGCAAATTCATCTGGATTAACTTTGTCCTGTCCAGCTTCAAACATTGTGGTGGCTGTCAAAAACAATATTAAAAAATTAATGATAAGTGAAATAGCATCAGAAGACTGAGAAAAATGGCACCAGGAAAATTACTTGCTAAAAGTAGCATGCATAAGTATATTTCTCGTGCATATTAAGACAGTAAGATACCCTCATCCTTTTCAACAATCTGTCCATTGCACCTAGGTTTGCAGCTGCCACCCTTGCCCTCCACCCAACCTTGGAGCCCTTCAGTTGGGAACCTCTGGCATTCCCATGGGTAGAACAAGATCCCCTGAAAGAAACCCTGTGGCTGCGACTAACCCTAGCAGGAAACTTAAAGAACACCCCTTCCCCAACCTCCTAATAGTCACTGCTCTCCCTACCTCCTCCACAGTCCCTGACTCCCAGCTGAGATGGAGTCCAGTCCTCCCTACCCAAAGACAAAATGACAAAGGATAACAGCTTGCGCTGGAGCAATCAAGCTGGGGAGAAGCAGAGGAAGACATCTGTCCACCTATGGAACCAAGGTACTTTTCTGAGCTCCTCCCAGTCTGGGATAGAATGTGAAGGTGGTGGTCTTGTTCAGTTTCTCTACCATGCCTACACCCCATATTCTTTGTCTTGGAACCAGCATCTTCAGGAGTACATAGGACTTGCCCCAGCTACCTGGAAGCCCAGGAGGCTCAGTGCATTTCCACCCAGCATCTTAGAAGCACTAACAACCAGAAAGAGATCCTGTATATGTGATGTGGGACTTGGGTGAAAAACCTCCATTTGAAAGGGAAACGCCAAAGCCCCGGGGAAAAGCTCCAGCCTCTCCTTTCCTTCCTGGTTAAGGATGAAATAATCCAAGTTTGTATTATTCTCTGAATGAGCCACAAGGTCTGGAGAGATAAAAGCTATGCCTCTTCCTGTCAATTCAGTCCTAACACAAGGTGGGCTAGGAAGAAAGGGAGGGAGGTGGCCTGCAGAAGGGCACCAGGATCGAGCAGAAGTGGGGTGGGGGTGGGGTGAACTGGCAGAGGGATCAAACCTCTAGTAAGGTAAGGAGGGCTTCCATATGGCCAGGCAGCCTGGCACGGGGTGGGAGAGTACGGATGTGGTGAGGAGGGCATGGGGATGGGGAGGGAGGAGAGTAGCCAAAGTGATGAGGGATTGGTTACACACGTGGACATGGATCACATATATACATGCATACATAGTAATAGGAATCAGGTTTGTCACTGCCCAAGAAGAATAAATAGGGAAAGGGAGAAAATAAGAATGAACGCTATAGAATTGGAATTGTAGATGCCAGTGGAAATATATGTATCTCCAACTGAGATGTTATAAAAATATAGACATAAATGCACACATACATATGCATACACATTCCTCAGTTCTAGAAGCATGACACCCTAGCAACAATGAGTACACAAAGCACCCAAATCTTTGTTCTTAAATATCATTCTCCATTAAAAAGACTAAGACTTCCTCAGAAAACTGGTAGATTCCAGGGCTGGATCAGGCAAAGTGCACTATGAACCAAGAATATCTTGTATCAGAAAGGAAGAAAGTGTCAAAAAACGATGGAAATGTGAAAAGGACATAGATGTCAGCGTGCAAGAATTCACACTGACCAAATCAGGGATAATTTAAGCATCAAAATAAGTAATGATGGTAATAGATTATCACTCCAGTGAATACAGGAATCCATGAATCCATAATAAAACACACAATTGACTGAAGAGATAAAGGAAAAATAAAGAAGCTGATTGATTCATAAGGAACAGTATGTTTACATAGTTTCAAAATATCTCCCCACCAATACCTATCAATGAAAGAGAATAATTTTACAGTGCAGAAGCCTAACAAGCACCACCTGAAGTGATCGAAGTGAACATTCCTAAGGAAAAAAATCAAAAACCCGTGCTTCCCTATACGATGTAATGAAAAGAATACAGAATCACATTTGTGAGGTTACACCAAAGAGGTGTGACCTGAGTGTAATTTTAAACAAAAGATTAGGCAAACCAATGTTGAGGAACATTCTACAAAATAACTGGCTTGTACCCTCCAAAAGTATCAAGGCCATGAAAACCAAGTAAAGGACAAATAACTATTCCAAATTGACACAATGTGATAAGTAAATGCAACATGTGATTTTGAACACACTCTTTTGCTATAACAGATATTAAGGAATCAGTGAAACATAAATAGAATATGAATATTAAATGGCAGTAATGTATCAATGTTAGTTTCATGGTTCGAATGGTTATGTTATGGTTCAGTAGGAGAATATCTTTGTTTTTAGGAAATACACATCAAAGTATTTGGGGTCAATGGGACATTATTAAAGTAACTTACTCTCAAATTAGTTCAAGAAAAGTCTTTGTACTGTATTTGTATCTTTTCTGTACATTTAAGATTGTTTATATATATAAAAGAATGGCAGTGAAGAAAGAAGAGAAATTGAATCTCTTCTTTATATTATCATCACCCTCTCTCCATCTTGCACCAGATCTCAGCCATTACCCAAAGCCTTCTTCATTTACCATCAATCTGGAAGGAAACGCTTCACAAAGGAGAGAGTTCCTCAGCTGCAGCTGGAACCTCTGCTCCAGCCCACAGGTCCTGCCAAGTTACTCAGACGCTTCCAAAGCTCCCAAGTGTATTTAAACTTTTTTTTAATGATATGTCAAGGATGGCCAGGACATGCTGAAGCAAACACGCAGATACACTGGCTTGACTTCATAAATTTGGCTTTTGAAAAAAGTTTGGCAACAAGTATCAAAAGTCATCAAAGTGTTCATATCCCTTGACCTACCTCCCATTTTACTTCTGGAAATCTAGACTTCAAAATAAAATTTTTAAAACAGAAAAGAATTTAGCATAAGTTGTACCTAACAGAATCCAAAAAAAAAAAATTCTAAAATGTAGGATCATTAAGTTACCTCTGGTATGATGAAATATATTAGGTGAAATATGTTTACATCATTTTAAATAATGTTTATGAATAATTCATAACTTAGAGAAATAGTTTTGTTCTAATATTTACTGAAAAAGCAGTACATATCCTTTATATTATACTGAAAATAATATTTTCATAAAAATCTTTATATAGAACGACTAAATGGGGAGGTAAGTGATAAAGCAATTATAGTAAAATATTAACAGTAGAGTCTAGGTGACAGGTATATATAGAGGTATTCACTGAAAAGTCTTTCAACTGTCTATCTGTCTGAAAATTACCATAATAAAATATTGGGAGAAACCTCTGTGAAGCCAATGGAAGAAAACTTAGCAAAACCTACTACATAAATTCAAATTAGAAAAAAAATTTTAGTGCTGTGTTTGATGTGGTAAATACCTAACTTGCAATATTTACTCTGTGTGCTCACAGGTATTAGCTATATTTAAAAAATATTTCCTAAGCCACTAAGGAATGCCTTAATGTCTATAAGGAATGTTCCATTTCTTTCAACAGACAGTCATAGTACTATAGCTAAGAAAAGAAGCAATCTGCCTTGGAGCGCATTTTCACACCATCAGATAAGAAGCCAAGTGCTCAGGGAAACGGTGTCCTACAGTATTCTATCAGTATTTCACATAAGTCTGGAGGTTCTGTTTGTATCTCTCTTTCTTTGAAGACCAGGCTCTCTTTCCTTGAAGATCTTATCCACAAACCCAGGTTAAGCATGATCACGGTGCAGAGAAGTCCCAAATCTTTGCTTCCATCCCCAACTTCTGTCATGAGTTCCACACACCCATTTCTGAGTAACTGGTGGGCAATTCTTCCTAGGTGCTCCACTAGCATCTCAAACAGCATGTCCAGAAACCAAATATCACCTTCCAGTCTAAAGAAACACCCACTCTTTCTCTTGTTCCCACCATTATTTTTCTCTTCTCCCAGGTCTTCAGCCTGTGCAGCAAACACTGCCTCCCTTTATTCTACCTTTACTCTCCCTTTATTCTCTCTAATCCAATTCTTTCCATTTCATTCCCACCGCTGCCATGTTATCTCCTAATCTCCAAGTCCAGTCATCAAACCATCCCACGTAGGCAAATTGGACTCCCCTTCCTAAAGCACAGCTCTGATCCCACTGGGTACCGAGACAAAAGGACCATGAAGCTCCTTTCCACCTCTGAGATTAGCTGTCATTCCTATATATAAAAATATTCCACCTGGGCATGGTGGCTCATGCCCGCAATCTCAGCTACTAGGGAGACTGAGGCAGGAAGATCACATGAGGCCAGAAGTTTGAGACCAGCCTGAGCAACACAGCAATATCTTGTCTCTGAAAAAAGTATATTTAATAAAAAAATAAATAAAATTAACCAGGCATGACGGTCCACATCTGCAGTTCCACATACTCAGGAAGCTGAGGCAAGAGGATCACTTGAGCCCAAGAATTTGAGGCTGCACGGAGCTATAATGATGCCACTTCACTCTAGCCTGGGCAATAGAATGAGACCCTGTCTCTTAAAAACATTTTTTTCAATAAATTTAAAATATATATGTATATATTTTTAATGTCTGTGTGTATGTGTGTGTATATACACACACACACACACATTTCTTTTCCTTGTATAATCAATGTTTATCTTTAAAACCCTAAACACTAGTGGCAGTCTAACCTAAAGCACTCTTGGTTCCCCAGTGGTTATCCCACTCTAGACTAACACTGTGCCCTCAAAAATCTGACCACTCAAAATGCTATCTTCACTGCTTTCTGCCTTTGCCCAGGATAACCTCCTCCTAGCCACCAGCAAGGAGTCAAAATCCCCTCTCTCCTTCAAGGTTCTCTCCTCCATGAAATCCTTTGTCCACAGCTAGAAGAGATATCTCAGCTCTCTAAACCCTTCTGCCAGTGTTTTTCATGCTTAAATGCACAAACAAGTCACATAGCGTCTTGGCAAATGCAGATTTTGGTTCAGTAGTTCTGCAGCCCTGAGATTCTGCATTTTCAACTCCCAGGCGATGCTGGTTCGCAGGCAACACGTTGAGTAACAAGCTCTTAGACTGCAAATTTAACATTGCTCTGCATTGAC